GTATATTACAGGAATATTATCATGTTACAAATACGCCATATTACAAATGCCGTTTTCAACCAAACGATTCTACAAAAAATCAACTTTTAGAAATCTATGACGTTATAATAAGTAATCTTGATAAAGGAAAGCAAATTCGATTTATATTGTGTGATGTATCAAAAGTTTGGCATGAATGTTTATTGACTAAATTGAAACAATATGGAATTAATAAAAAATTATGTAAATGGATTGAACTCTATTTAAGTAATAGACAACAATGCGTAGTTTTAGAAGGTTTTAAATCAAATTATTTGCATTCTAATTCTGGAGTCACCCAAGAAAGTGTACTGGGTCCGTTCTTATTTTTAATTTACTTAAATGATATCTCCGATAATATTACTAACACCATACGATTATTTGCCGATGATACTTCACTTTTTACAATTATTCATAATGATCCTCTAAATAGCGCGAACTCTATAACTAAAGACCTGGATATTGTCTCACCGTGGGCTAAACAGTGGTGTGTAACTTTTAACCCCAATAAAACTAAAAATATTACTTTTACTAGGAAAAATACAATCCATCCAGACGTTGTTTTCGGAAATACAAAAGCTGAAAACATAAACAACCATTGTCATTTGGGATTAACATTTCGGTCTAATGCATTATGGTCAAAACACATTTCAAATATATACCAGAAAGCTTGTGGTCGACTAAATATTTTGCGCATACTGAAATATAAAATTAATATAATTTCACTTAATAAAATTTATCTTGCTTTTATTCGAACGATTTTAGAATATGCTGATATTGTATGGGATAACTGTTCAAAGAAGGATTCTGATCTATTAGAAAGTGTTCAAACTGGAGCAGGTAGAATAATAACTGGCCTTAGAAGAAATTCATCTAAAAACAATTTATACAAAAAGCTTGGTGGGAATCGCTGTCTAATCGTAGAGTAAAACACAAATTAATTTACTTATATAAAATAAAAAACAACCTAGGCCCAACTTATCTGACTGAAATCTTAAAAAAAAATTGGTTCTTTGGTACCAACTTATAATCTTCGTAATGAAAATCAGAACCCCAATCTTCTAATAGTTTCTTTCCCTGCACAATTAAACTTTGGAACAATTTACCGGAAAACATCAAAACCCCACAAACGTTAAGCACATTTAAATCGGGCCTTTCACGTGGGTACCCATTACGTAGACCGCCATTATATTATAATACTGGAAATAGGAAAGAAAATATTATCCATTGCCAATTAAGAACTAAAGCTAGTAATTTAAATAACCACTTATTCTACCATTTTATTAGTGAAACAAAGGTGTGCCGTAGATGTAATTCTACAGACAAAGATAATTATCATTATTTTTTCGTATGTGCAACCTACTCTGCCCAAAGAACAATTCTCCAAAATAATTTACACCACCTCAAACAAAATGTTACAATTAACCTTATCTTATATGACAACCCCGACCTTTCAGATGATACCAATTTTAACATTTAACATAGTGCAAAAATACATTAAAGATAGCAAGAGATTTAAACACGTTAACATTTAATATTTTATTTACAATATGCAACACTTTTTATCTTATATAAATTTCATAATCTAAAATGAAAATGTAATACACTACGATTAGGCTCCAAGAAATGTATATATGTTTTGTAACTCACTGTCTATACATATGTCCACCATTGTCTATTGTAAACATAAGTTATAACTGTTTTATATGTTTGGAGAGAACTTATATAGGCCTTTGCCTGTTGTTCAATCTAGTTCAGTTTATTGAATAAAATATTGTTTAACTAAAATATCAGGATGGCTACACGTGCATGCCAACTTTGAATTTTCGTCCCATCCGAACGACTACGCACACTTCTGTAATATATACACATAGGGAAGGAAAGAAACATCTGACATTTTGGTTTAATCAACATGCGCAATTATTGCCTTTCGGTATCCTTCTAATGACGTGTTTAGTCTTCATGTATATGTAATAATACAAGTTGTGCGTATCCAATCATTTTGTAGTTTCATTGGTGGATTCATTAATAAGCAGGATATTTACCAATCATATCAAAACTTGTCTGCGATATCACCTCGGTGGAAGCGGACGTAAAATACAACTAACTCACACACAATCATATAATGATAAATACACATGATGGGGTAAACGCGTTCCTTTTTATATTTACTTGAGTATTACTTTAGTGCATGCTAATGGCACCGATGTGTTAACATGCTGAAGACAGGTGGTCTTGAGTTAAAGTCACACTGAGGCCGGAACCAACGCACCTAAGAGGCATCCGGGATCTGAATTTTTATGTGTTGAAAATATAATAGTTCCTGGTATTTTAAGTACGATTAATTGTGTGCAAGGCCCTAGATTTTAGCCCTTGCCTTAATGTGAGTTATACCATTTAAAGATGCATTATGTAAGAGCTAAATCTACCTATTGCAGGTCTTTCTCTTTTAGTTTCAAATGTTATATAAACTTATTTTGACATATATTATATTCACATAACACGCCATTAATCAACGCTCTAAATGCATTGAAACACGGTCGTCATTTAATAGTTTAATTTAAAAATGGCGAATCGAGGCTTACTCTCAGTTGCGAATTACTACATCTTGTCAAAACTCAAAACACTGATAACCTCGATCAGAATAAAGTCATTCGAATGAAATTTTCAATATATTCATATTTTATTATCTACTTTTTAACTATTATTCAAATCTTACATGCTGCATCTTTAACTGGATTGGTCAGAGGTCTTAGTGAGTACCCACCATTATCTAAAACTGGAGTATTCTCTATTAGTATTGTATAAAGCTTTGTGGGTGGGGTCATTTGGGTAGGGTCATAGAAAACTATTTGGGGTGTTCACCTGTTTTCTCTAGAATACCGTTGTATTTAAACCAATTCTCTCGCAGCAGTACAAACCTGTTTTCCATAGCATTGTGTAGAATTGCCCAGGGTGGTCGCACATTTAATCTTTTGTAAGTAACGAGGGGCATTTACAGGACAATTTCATGCAGATCAGATATAATTTTCGTCCTTTTAGGGTTCACAAGGTGCTACAAACTGAAACGGGTGCCACGGTGGCTAAGTGGGTAAGTGGAAATCATTGAAATTCAATATCCTTCTTCGTTTCACTAATATATAGTAGCTCTAACTCAGTATCATCCAAAGTCTTCGACATCGAAAACACGAATTATTTATCAATTTAAATCAACATTGGTGTTGATATCGTATCTTGAAAAGATGAGCTTCTGATATCCAATATTTAAGACAAAATAAACATTTTAACGTTGGTACATGAATCGTGTACCATAATGCCTTTAAGCGGCATTTGTAATAAGGGACTCTAAGAACGAGGCTAGACATATTCCACAAGTCATGTCAAACGGTGAAGCCAGATTCTTATCTGGAGAGCATGCGCAATAAATACTATCGGTGTCGACTGGAATAACCAGACGCTAGAGATAGTCATTCGATTGACACTTCTGGTAATTGATTTGATATTAGAGTAAAAACGGAAAGATTGAATGTAAATCAGTTTATATACATTCATATTGCATTATTATATGCGTTGCGACCCATTTGTGTCAATTTCTAGGTCCCAAATATTAGCGATTTAGCGCCTTTAAATAATGCATATAAATTTGCATACAGATCGGATGATATCTTTTGTCGTTACAGCGTTCACAAGGTGCAACAAAGTGAAACAAGGGCTACAACTCCAGAATAGATTAACGAAAATTATTCAAATTAATTAGGCGTCTTCAACTCACTAATGTAAACAACATATATAAATTTCAAAACAATCAGATTATAAATGTAGCATGTAGATTGTTCACAAGAAATTGTGGATGAAGGACGGCGGCGACGACTATATACGACCACATTTACATGTGGGTGTGTAAAAAGGGGAATTCTAGTCTTGACAAAAAAAGTAAGACCTAACGAAGGCATGGGAGGTGGTGGGCAGCAGGATGGACTCGTTCCATCGGTCTGTCTCACAGACGCGGGTGTGTCCTTGGTGACTCCCAGAAATTCTTACAAGTTCGTTGTTATTTTAGAATATTCTTTATATGGAACACCAAGGTTCAATGTATATCCTAGAAAACAGCCTTCGACACTTGTTACATAAATATTACCCAGTGGGTTGTACACGCATGTTAATGATTGGTGCCATTAAGAGAGAGAAATTTTATCTCGTTTATCAGAGAGGGTTTGACAGGGGGGATGAAATTACAGATAACGACGTGTACCACATCCTGGTTTAGTTTAGACGTTTCTTATAAATTATAGGCCAAAAAAATAAACACTTGTTTTACAAGCCAGGAAAGCAATTTATAACGGATATTTTTTCCCATTGCCATCTTTCCTATATGACTTCATATATTCAAAAGTGACTCGATAAATTCGTTTTTCGGGTATCAAGTATAGTTTTCGAGTCACAATGGACTAGATAACCCTAATCACGAGACTGGCTTCGTTTCTTTATAACCGCGAATTTCGATTTACCAGGCCTCTTGTGACAAAATTCGATTGACATTATAGGTTTTAAAGAAACTGGTGTAGAATTGATGGACCATATCACGAAAATTCCATATACTGACCAGTTCTTTTTGAACAAATGAATTGATGGACCATCTTTTGAACAAATGAATTGATTCTTAGCGCAATGGTGTTTTTCAATGAGCATGCCGTAGATTCAAACTAAACAATCTGTATAGTCATAATCAAGAAACGTCATTTTTAAAGAACCTCGGCTCTTGTTGAACCAGTGAGGCGCCAAGGGTATAAAGGCGTTTAATACAAACAAATATCATTTCACATCAAACTTCGTACTTATAGGTATGATCTAACAAGCGAGAGGCGCACCAGGGAGCGTCACACAATCAACCTACTAAACCAATATACTTTCTTCTTGGCCTTAGCTTATCAAGTTTTAAATATTCTACGTACATAAATTTGCTCCAGTCTCTTTGACATAAACAAAGCCAGCAAGCTGGTGTAGAGTTATTGTTATAGTTCAGAATACCATTAACACATGTTGAAATGAAAGTGTAACGATGGACTATCGAGTAGTTATAATTGTTTTAGTGGGATTAGTTTCTCTTATATCAACTAATAAACAAAGGTAAGGATTCTAAATACCGAACTAATATACTATTTCTATGAAATTTGGTTTAACATCCCACCATTTCTGCACCGATTGGACAACTGAAGTCGGGCATACAACATGCAGTTTTAATAACTATTTTTTGATTTAATGTGATTCAAAATTTAACTTTAATTTACGAGTTGTGTAAATATTTTAGTAATTTTGAAGAAGTTTAAATTACAATATGTCTTTGCTTGGACTTTCGACAGTTGAGTTAGGCGAGTGTATGGTTCTAAATATTCATTTGAGTATGATATTATTCCAGATTAATTAGGTTTATTTTTTCATGCGGCATAGTTAATACTTTTTCAATGATTTCCACATAGTAAATATCATTGATAAGTTTTACGAAGTTTTCCCATGTGATCTTTAAAAGAAACACAATGGCATTAACAAAGAACACTAAATCGGAAGGCAGCGCTGGTGATCGTCAATGCTGTGGATCCATACTGGGGATCCAATCCTTTCTTTCTCTAGGTATACATAGTATTCGACTTTCAATAACCCGGTTGATGCTGACAGGCATGACGTTATATATAGCCATTTTGATTTTATTACGATTACATTCTGTGAGCTGCCCAATCAAAATAGGTTTAGTTCCGCTGGAATTTCTGAGTGTCATTCTTATATTTCTATCAACTGCGTACAATTTTTACGCCATTAAAGTGTAATTCTTATATTTCTGTCAACTGCGTACAATTTTTACGCAGTTAAAGTTTATGTTTTCTCAAATTATCCCACCTTTAATTCGCATGTATTTATAGGAATCTACGTTTTGATTATAATTAATTAACTGTAAATCAGATTCATTGTTCAACTGATATTTCTATATTTTCTTCTTTACTGAGGCTAATTATTTTATTTGAAAGACTGAGCTAGTGAATCTACAGACGGTCTATCTATGACCTAGATTTTATTTTCGACCCAATGCCTGAAAGAATTTACTAACTAATGAAATCTAAGGCCAATGTAATTAATGCATTATGTAAGATTTAAATATATCCATGGAAAGTATTTATTTTGGCTACAAATGATATAAAAATTATTATTTAGACATTTATTAATATGACAAGGCCATAATCAACTCTAAGGACCAGTGGTTCCCAAGCTTATGATTGGTTGCTACGTCATTCTGATCGCGCCCCCTTGAAGATCAGTGTCACCTGTTACTGTGAAACATCGTCATTATTTACATATCAAAATGTTGTAATGAGAGAATAAAGAACCGAATCATGAGAGAGGAAAGACGATTGGCAATGTGCCAAGAGGTGTAAAGATCAGAGAATTACGAGCGCTGGCTGAAAAGTTCTACATAGTGCCCTTCGAGGTGTAGACACATTTGCATACGATATTGCAAGGCTTGGATGCCGGTCAGGAAGAGATTTTCTTCAGCCACCCTAAACAACTGACATGCGTCGTTATTACCAGGGAAATGACGACCGGCTAGTTCATTTTTCATTTTTGGAAATAGGTCTCATCCATGGTTACAAATCTTGCGTGAATTATTATTAGGATCTACTCCGAAACAGCGCAGATTCCATGGGATGTCAGGAATCGGACACGTTTCTGATCCGCAGTCAAGGGCTTTGGCACCCATCTTGCAGAAACTCTTTTCATTCCTAACTTGATGGCGATAATGTGCTCAACCCTCTCATAAGAGATGCCCACAAAACTGGCAATATGTCGAGTGGTCAATCGATCGTCTACCAGCCATCACCATGTCATGCACCCATGTAATGTTTTGTTGAATGGTTGCCGTTGAAAACTCTCCAGGACGCGGGTCATCGTCAAGGTTCCGAACCCCGTTGGTTTGGAACTCAAGCTATAGATCATCGGGTAGCAGAGATTTAAATGGATTAGAACGCCCTCTAGATTTTAAAATTTAACGATAAAATGGATAATCGAGACTAAGTCTAATTTGTCCTGTACCTTTGCTACGATAATAAACACTCTACGCTACAACTTCAAACAGTCATAACTTGGCTCAGAATAGGGGGGAATAGACAAATATTAACGTGTGCGCACTGTATCATAAGGTATGTTATTGAGTCAACTGGTGTGGTTTTGATTCCCCGGTTGTACGTGAAAGGGTCGTTTGTACAACCCCGTGGGTTTTCTCCAGGTCCTCCGTTTGAGCCTATAAAACGAATGCTGTTTTTTACGATAAGAAGTTATGTTCGCAGAGTGATAATAGTTTGTTATCAATGTTGGTAGTTTCATAGAAAAACAAAAGATTGTACTAATTAATTATTCTATAGCAACAGCCGTTAGTTCAAAATGAGATATGATTTTTTTTTTAAATTTTGAGATAAATCTGGCTTTTAAATTACAAGAATTACCTTTCATTTCAGTTTTTATTATGTCGTTATAACACCCAAGATATTTCGCACAGATACGGATAACGTTGTAACTATATCAGCTTCAGATGTGACGAAATCACAAACAGTACATTTAATACTGAGTTATGGCGAGAAACCGAAGCAAAAACAAGAACAAAAAATAAAGATAGAAAAAGGTAAAGTTCAGACATATCGACGATCGGTTGACTGCTGAACACCAAATACTAATAGAAAAAAGGTCACAGAAGAATACTTACAACCTTTATTTGGATGTTTTATAAAGTGCTGTGCGGAATGGTCTAGACGGGAGAAATTGCTGTCTGAAAAAAAAAATCAACTTTAATCCGTGCCCCCAAATTTTTATAAGGGGCCTAGCCTTACCGATGACCTACCTATAGTGCCCAACATTTCTTATGCGGGACCTATTGTGATCAATGACCAACCTAGAGTGCCCCACAATACTTAAGCGTGGCCTAGAGTGACCCATTGCCCACCTAGAGTTTCCACTATTTTTATGCATGATCAAAAGTTCCCAACAATTATATGTGTGGCCTAGCCTAAGCCAAAACCTGTCTAAAAAAATGTATGTGTCGCTTAGGCTTTTTCGGTAACTAGTGTTGTTTTTCGGCATTTGTTGATTTCGGTATTTAGGTTCTTTTTCGGATTTTTACGGTATTTTTCGGAGTTGTTTTTTTCGGTATTTTTCAGTTTTTTCGGTATAGAGTACATCCGAAAACAAGGGTGGAAATATTATCCAGTTCTTCCAATCCAAAAGATTCAATATAACTTAATAATAAGCTTGAAAACATGAAAACTCCACGCTTCAAGATTCTGTATCGTACTTAGAAATAATAACTTTCATATTTCAGATGGGGTTCAGCAGACGACTTTTCGCATTCAATCGTCGGATTTGCCGCCCACAGAGTCCATGGTATTTTTTGAAGTTCGTGATGATATAGGTGGACCTAAACAGAGCAAATCCATCCCTGTTGATAGATCTAGTGGCCATATTATGATACAGACAGATAAGCCTATTTATAAACCCAGAGAAACCGGTTAGTGTGTTTTTATACGCCCACATTGAAATGTGGTCGTATATTGTCGTCGCCCCGTCCGTCCGTCCGTCCGTCCGTCCGTCCGGCGTCCACAATTGCTTGTGGACCCTCTAGAGGCTAAAGTAAATATCCGATTGACTTTAAATTTATATACAGTGTTTAAGGCCATGAGACGAAGAAGCCTATTGATTTTCAGCGATTTCCGATAAGTACTGCCAGAGTTATGGCCCTTGATCACTTCAAAAAATCTTGTGGACGCTCTAGAGGCCAAAGTTAATATCCTATTGACTTTAAATTTATACAAAGTGTTTAAGGTCATGAGACGAAGAAGCCTATTGATTTTCAGCGATTTCCGATAATTACTGCCAGAGTTATGGCCCTTGATCACTTCAAAAAATCTTGTGGACGCTCTAGAGGCCAAAGTTAATATCCTATTGACTTTAAATTTATACAAAGTGTTTAAGGTCATGAGACGAAGAAGCCTATTGATTTTCAGCGATTTCCGATAATTACTGCCAGAGTTATGGCCCTTGATCACTTCAAAAAATCTTGTGGACGCTCTAGAGGCCAAAGTTAATATCCTATTGACTTTAAATTTATACACAGTGTTAAGGTCATGAGACGAAGAATCCTATTGATTTTCAAAGATTTCCGATAATTACTGCCAAAGTTATGGCCCTTGATCACTTTGAAAAATCTTGTGGACGCTCTAGAGGCCAAAGTTAATATCCAATTGACTGCAGATTGATACACAGAGTTTAAGATCTTGAAACAAACAAGTATATTGATTTTCAATGAATTTTTATGACTTGGAACAGCTAAATTCATGATACAGTATTAAAAGTTCTGTATACAAAACGTTAGCATGGGGCAGAACTTTATAAAAACCAAACAAATTCTAATGGTTTTCTGAGTTGTTGCTCTTAATAAGATTTTAGTGTATTATAAATGTTTCATTACCGAAAAAAGTAAAAATATGCGACAACTCTTGTTGACTGCCCGGACGATTTAGCTGCTGTGGGCGTATATTTCGTTGCCTGGCAACCTATCTTTACAATTTGTGAATTATTTAAACAGGCATTATGAGAACGACTTGGCTGCTATGGGTGTCTTAAATTCTGTAAGCTTATTTTAGTACCCCAGACCAAGTACCTTATGTTTAACTCATTTAAATCTTTAACCATTTTTGTAACTCTTCATGCCACTATAGTATTTGACATTTGACATTTGACATTTGCTCTATATCACAAATTGTTTTTATTTTGGATTTATTTCAAGGTCAATGTTACAACTTAAATTAGGAAATCCTAAGCAGACGTATAAATTAGTATTTGATTGTTTTGCAGTAAAATATCGTATTTTGGCTGTTAATGAAGATCAAAGTCCAACAACAAGATCTGTAAGAGTTGACATTACAGTAAGTATGTTAATAATAACAAGTACAGGCATGGACCAGGAACCGTGCTGGGCGTCATCACAACTATCTTAGAATAGTGACGTCATATGACAAATCGTAATCCTGTAATTGATGCACAGTTGTCAACTCAAATGAACAAGCATGCTAGGGGACCAGTTTCTGGTCAAATAATAAAATGACATCATCGATAAATTTATTTTATTTTAACGAAATACATTTTAAGCGATCTGGAGCAGGTATATCAAGTATCATAACAGACACCGAGCTATGTTGTGGATTGCATGGGCGGTCAAATCTACTTAGGAGAATATGGTGTTTCCAAAATGTTCAAAACTTGATATTGGTGTCGGGCCCTCAAAAAATATCTTTGAGAAACAATATTTCGGTTCATTTATGGTGAAAAGGGAAATTGCCAGTCCAAAATTGGAGAGGTGGGCGAATGGTTAAAAATATATTACCCATTCTAATACGTCACTAGTGATCATCGCGATTTTCATAATTGTTTCAGAGCCCTAATGGTATCATACTAGACAGAATGACATATCCTGGTGAAGAAGCTTTCAATGGTAAAACTTTCTTTCTTCCAGAAGAAGCTCAACTAGGAGTTTGGAACATATCAGCATCTTTTGTTGGAGACGTGAGTTATTTTTTCCTAATCATTCAGTGAAACAAACCAGGGAATGACAAGTTAATGGAATTAATGAAGTTCGAACATGGAATTGGTATTGGGGTGGGGTGGGGACTCCCTCTGCTTAGCTACATAACAAAATTGTAAAACTGCGCTTTTATGAAAAAAGTGTCACGGCCGTGTTCTTTATCCTTCATTATCAGATGGTGGGATCGGATGACATTCCAAGCGCGAGATAAATAGACATAATGTGATATTACAATTTTAAAATACTTTGCATCCATGAATTGAATCACAATGGAGTTCTATTAATTCATAATAAAACTTGACGTCAAATGCATCATGGATTGTCAACTGTCAAATTTCCTAAACAAGAACCTGCAAAAATTCCTGTATCCGCCACCTGGTATTCCACTAATTCAAATCTCTGAATGTTACTTGAGGGATGTGGAATCTCTTTCAAACATCAATACTGAGGAAGTTCAATTTCTAAAAAGAATATCAGTTCAGAGGCATTAACAATGTGTAACAGTGCTAAGAGAAACAGTTCGGATCTGTTTTTGTTTTTCAGGAAGGAGTTCAACAGACCGTAGAGTTTGAGGTTAAAGAATATGGTATGTAAAGTTTCCTACCGGTATTTGATTTTTATGTACACTTCAAATTCAAACCTGATTATATATTTATGTCATCCACCATATCATCAGTGATTCGTTCACAATTCTTCATATTCTCGAAGCAGTGGCCATGACTATTGGGTCATTAACCCTTGTTTGCTACATGAGAATTCGATTATGAACGATTGTTTTAATTGACTAAGGCGACCATATTAAACAACTTTCTCCGGGAGACAAATAATGTTATTTCTCTGGTTTTAAAAAAAATCGGCAGGACTTATAATAAGTGATATTTTCTGGCTTTTATTGTATCACGCGATCTTCTTGAAATATGCGTATATTGTCCAAGCGTTCTACATGAAATGTGCGTATATTGTCCTAGCGCTTACTTGAAATTTGCGTATATTGTCCAAGCGTTCTTCTTGAAATTTGCTTATATTGTTCACGCGTTCTTCTTGAAATTTGCGCATATCGTCCACGCGTTCTTCTTGAAATGTGCGTATATTGTCCAAGCGATCTTCTTGAAATTTGCGCATATTGTCCAAGCGTTCTTCTTGAAATTTGCGCATATTGTCCACGCGTTCTTCTTGAAATGTGCGTATATTGTCCACGCGTTCTTCTTGAAATTTATGTATATTGTCCACGCGTTCTTCTTGAAATTTGGTTTTTTTTGTCCACGCGTTCTTCTTGAAATGTCCGTCTATTACAACAACTTTGTGACAGCAAGTATCAATGAAATTTTATTATTTTCGTACAGCCCCTTCACACCTACCGAAGACATTGCTACGCGCTTATTACACGCAAAGCTTGGTGAGGTTGCCTTGAAGTGGTGTATGCATGAATAGGGGAAAACCAATCAAATTAATTATGCCGGCAATCGTTTATAAACAACCCGATGACGTAGATACTGCTGAATTCAACTTTCTTTCCATTTCAAACCTAGATACTTTGTCAAATTATTTCCCTCTTTATTTTCAGTTTTACCCACATTTAATGTTGAGATTAAACCAAAGATGACGATTGTGATGAAATCGCTTCATTATATAATAATTAATGTTGAAGCAAAGTAAGATATTAAAGAAACTTCTATTTTTCTTATTAATTTATATTAAATTTAATGATCGTTATTTGAGGCATTTTGAGAGAATTTATATTGAAGTTGATGATCGTGATTAACATTTTTCGGATGTCATTTTTCACGGTCTAATCCTCCTTAAAACGTAAATAGATTCATAACTTATCATTTCGAAAACATAAAAAGAAAAGTTCAACATATATAATATCTCGGCTTGAATTCTGTAGAATTATAAAGATTCTTACCCAAGGTGGAGATATCTTGTTTGTATCGTCTGCAGGGCCCCGAAAGATTTTTTTTACATTTTCAATTCGATATGTATTTGTAAATACCCAAATGAATGCTTTTGACAGACATTGCTTTTAACTGCAAGACTAATTTGGACGGTATGAAGTTTTGAATTCTGAAATTTGCTGATTTCTATCAATAGAGATTATTTTATTTTCTCCAGATATTCTTATGGTAAAGGAGTAGAGGGACATTGTGATCTTCGAATGGGTGTAGTTAATGATGAACATGTAGCATTGTTTAAACTACCCGAAGCAAGTCAGGTCAGACTCTAATTTCCACCCAGACAATTCCATTTCCATTAAGCTTTAGATTTTCGTTTTTATACGCCCACATTGAAATGTGGTAATATATTGTCGTCGCCCCCGTCCGTCCGTCCGTCCGCCCGTCGGTCCGTCCGTGCGTGCGTCGGTCCAGTGTCCACAATTGCTTGTGGACGCTATAGAGGCTAAAGTTAATATCCGATTGACTTTAAATTTATATAAGGTGTTTAAGGCCATGAGACGAAGAAGCCTATTGATTTTCAGCGATTTCCGATGATTACTGCCAGAGTTATGGCCTTGATTACTTCCAAAAATCTTGTGGATGCTCTAGAGGTTACAGTTAATATCCGATTGACTTTAAATTTATACACAGTGTTTAAGGTCATGAGATGAAGATGTCTATTCATTTTCAGTGATTTTCGATATACAGTGTTTGAGGCCATGAGACGAAGAAGCCTATTGATTTTCAGGGATTTACGATAATTACTGCCAGAGTTATTGCCCTTGATCACTTTGAAAAATCTTGTGGACGCTCTAGAGGTTACAGTTAATATCCGATTGACCTAAAATTTATACACAGTGTTTAAGGTCATGAGACGAAGAAGACTATTCATTTTCTGTGATTTTCGATAATTACTGTCAGAGTTATGGCCCTTGATCACTTCAAAAAATCTTGTGGATGCTCTAGAGGCTAAAGTTAATATCCGATATAAATTTATGCACAGTGTTTGGGGTCATGAGACGAAGACTCCTATTGATTTTCAACGATTTCCGATAATTACTGTCAAAGTTATGGCCCTTGATCACTTCAAAAAATCTTGTGACGCTCTAGAGGCTAAAGTTATCATCCGATTGACTTCAGATTGATACACAGAGGTTAAGGTCTTGAGACGAACAAGTATATTGATTTTCAATGAATTTTTATGACTTGAACATCTAAGTCCATGATATTAAAAGTTTCGTATACTAACCGTTAGCATGGTGCAGAAGTTGTTACTCTTAATCAGATTTTAGTGTATTATAAATCTTTCATTACCGAAAAAAGTAAAAATATGCGACCACACTTGTTGACTGCCCGGACGATTTAGCTGCTGTGGGCGTATGTTTCATTGGCTGGCAACCTATCTTTAAACAATTAACAATTATCCAGAGAAAACTTTTACATCGTGTTATTTCATAGATATGGTTTGACAATGCTAAGTAAGAAATTTCTGCTTGTGAAGATATGTTTTAGGTCACATTCATTTCTTGTTGCATTAAAGATGCATTATATATATAGTAGAATAGTTAATTAAAGCTGCTCTTTGGCAATATATAATTGAAATTAAAGATGGCAAAATAAAACTACATTTTTATGCTAACGTTTTCACCGCGATAGCGGCTCTTCAGGCTATCGCGGTGAAAACGTTAGCATAAAAATGTAGTTTTATTTTGCCATCTTTAATTTCAGTTATATATTACCAAAGAGCAGCTTAAATTAACTATTCTACACACACACACATATATATATATATATATATGTGTGTGTGTGTAGAATAGTTAATTTAAGCTGCTCTTTGGTAATATATAATCATCATATAAAAGAATTATATATATATATATATATATATATATATATAATTCTTTTATATGATGATTATAGTATTGCATATTGAGTGAAAACCAAGGCAGAGCTTCTAGATACTGCATTCACGCCTGCTATATTATGTTTTCTATATATTCATAATTATAGTATTGCATATTGAGTGACAACCCACGGCAGAGCTTCTAGGTGGCCTCCCCCGAACGTTCGAAAGATTGTAGCGCTGTAGATGCTATTTTTGACCAATAAAACCTGGACATACCCCCCCCCCCCCTACTGGATTCACGCCTGCTGTATTATGTTTTTTATATATTGTAGACGAAAACATTGTCCAGGAAAGGAAAGACTAGATTCTCTATCAGGACAAAATATCTTGCAAACAGTTCCTTATGGTTTCCAGAACATGGAAAACATCTTTATATTGAAGCTAATGTCACAGAGAAATCAACTGGGACGAAAGTCTCCAAGATTGATACATCTACTGTTTTTGCGACAAATTATTACAACATTGAATTCACTTCTTCTAAAAATACTTTTAAACCCGCAATGCCGTATAGGTTAGAGGTAAACACTTTTGTTAACTTTGTTTGTAAATAATTAGTTTGATACCTTGACTTTTCTTGCTTTTTATACGCCCACACTGAAATGTCGTCGTATTTTGTCGTCGCCCCCGTCCGTCCGTCCGGCGTCCACAATATCTTGTGGACGCTCTAGAGGCTAAAATGAATATCCGATTGACTTTAAATTTATACGCAGTGTTTAAGGTCATGAGACGAAGAAGCCTATTAATCTTCAGCGATTTCCGATAATTACTGCCAGAGTTATGGCCCTTGATCACTTTGATATCTTGTGGACTCTCTAAGGCAAGTGGTTATTGGCGAGATTGTAGGGTAGGGTTAGGTTTATGGTTAGCGTTAAGGTTGAGGTTAGCGCTAGCCCTGTTTACATCTTGTGGCCTTTGGCCAAATCTGCAGTTGGCCTTAATTTGTAGACCTATCCCACTAGGGCGGATCTAAGCTTGAAAATTGGGGTATAAGGGAAATTGAAGCAGGGGACTGAAACGGGTCTGGTGACGTTTCACGAAACTCCTATATTGAAACCTTGCAGGGTTCTACTCGTGTAACTCTAGGTAAGCAATGAATGAATGGATGAAATGTGGTTTAATGGCACGCAATATTGTGCAAATTACAACGGTAAAAATGCGATCTAACACCCTTGAGATGCTTGCACGCAATCAAAAAATGCTTAACAGTCACTAGGTAGAGTTTAATACATAATAATACATGTATAACATAATAAATTCTACCTTAATATGTCAACAAAGAACTATATTTGACATACATTGTAGGAATGTCGTGGGAATAAATTTAGTGACGGGTTTAATTGGGGCCAGGTGGGGGCGTGGAGGGCGGGTATATGATTACAGTTTACAATTTGTCAAAAGGAGCTTGTGAACTGATGAGATTCAACATAGTTCATCCCATTTTAATGAATCTTAGTATGTCCATCAGATTCAAGAATGAAACATGAATTTAGCTTCACCGTTTGTGTTTGAACAAGACATTCCAAATATGAATATAGTTATTGCCCTAGCTTGTGGATACATTGGAATCTATATCATTTACCAGATGGTGATATATTCAAGAGGGTAATCTATCCAAGAGAGTATTCTATTCAAGAGAGTAGCCTATTCCAAGGGGTTCTCAGTTCAGGAGGGTAGTTTTTTAAAAGTGATAAGTATATGATATACTCTCGAATGGCTAAATTATATCAGCCGGGCTGTAATTGAAGAAATTTATTCTTGAAATATATACATAGGTTTAATTTCTTGTCTTGAAAACTAAATGGACATGTTTTGCTATTTTTCAGCTTGATGTTCGAGATATTCTGGGTGGTGCTAAATCTAATTTAAGTGTTTACATCAATGCAACATTCACTGGTAAAACAGAGCAGAAGAACTGTAAGTATACAAAAAGTCTTTCTTAGATTTTTTTTTTATGCACCTATTGCTGTTCATCCATTTGTTCGCCATTCTGTCAGTCCAGTGTATACAATTTGCCTGTGAATGTTCTACCAACTGCATTTATCATCTTTGTGATCTCTATGTGAGTTGTTTACATCGTCTAGACAAAGAAGCCTATTGAATCACATCGATTTGCGATAATAACACCCAGAGTTTTGCCATTCATAACTTGGTAGAATCTTGGGAACGCTCTAACGTCAAGGGTTATCATCTTTATCTATTTGACATTCATATGCTTTATTGTCCCCCGCCTTTCGAAGAAAGCAGGGGACTATTAAAATGGGTTCGTCCGTCTGTCTGTCTGTCTGTCCGTCCGTCCGTCCGTCCGTCTGTCTGTCCGTCACACTTTTTGGGACACAATAACTCTCTTCCTAATTGAGCTAGAATGTTCAAACTTGGTGTATGTGTTTATTAGGTCAATGCCTTGATGGAGTTCGAAGATGAGCATTTTCCGCTTAGGGTAAGCAGAGATAAGCAATTTGATTGGTTGATGCTTTGGGACACGATAACTCTCTTCCTAATTGGGCTAGAATGTTCAAACTTGGTGTATGTGTTGATTAGGTCAATGCCTTGATGGAGTTCGAAGATGAGCATTTTCCGCTTAGGGTAAGCAGAGATAAGCAATTTGATTGGTTGATGCTTTGGGACACGATAACTTTTAATTGAGCTAGAATGTTCAAACTTGGTGTATGTGTTTATTAGGTCAATGCCTTGATGGAGTTCGAAGATGAGCATTTTCCGCTTAGGGTAAGCAGAGATAAGCAATTTGATTGGTTGATACTTTGGGGCACGATAACTCTCTTCCTAATTGAGCTAGAATGTTCAAACTTGGTGTATGTGTTGATTAGGTCAATGCCTTGATGGAGTTCAAAGATGAGCATTTTCCGCTTAGGGTAAGCAGAGATAAGCAATTTGATTGGTTGATGCTTTGGGACACGATAACTTTAGTTCTAATTAAGTGAGATTGATGAAACTTGGTGTATAGTTTCATTACAGTAATACCTTGACTAAGTTTGATAATGAGCATTTTCTGCTAAGGGTAAGCAGAGCGATACGCAATTTGATTGGTCGAGACTTTGGAAAACAATAACTCTCCTACTTTGATTGTCCCCCGCCTTTCGAAGAAAGCAGGGAACTATTAAAATGGGTTCGTCCGTCTGTCTGTTTGTCTGTCTGTCCGTTCCGCTTATTTGTGATAAATTTATATGTGTCCTCTAATTATTTTCCTATTTCGGCGGGGGACATCAGCCTCACTGTTGGCTTGTTCAAATTAGTGATACGAAGACGTCTATAAAATGCGTTAATGCTTCTAGAACTGCATGTGATCCTTGACAGATCTAGAGTTATATGGCCCTTGTTTACCTGTCATGTCGAATTTCGTTTTGTATTTTAGGATTATGCTTATTTTTTTCCCGCTAATTTTCAGTGGAGAATGTTGGCAAGTCCGATTCGAATGGTCGTATATCTCAGATATATCAAATACCAGATTGGTGTCATCATTTACAATTCGTAGTGAGTGAGGTGTGTATATATCTATATGTCTTCTTATCTTTCATATTTTAATTAATATTTAAAGAGGGCAACAGGCCAGATAGTATATTATTACTAATATTAGTATTTTATGGGGGGTTGGATGGCTGAATGGTTAACGTGCGCGCGCTGTATCATAAAGTCTGTCATTGAGTCGACTGGCGTGGTTTCGAATCCCCGGTTGTACGTGACAAGGAGTAGGGTCGCCTGTCCAGCCTCGTGGGTTTTCTCCGGGTCCTCCGGTTTCCTCCCACTGCTAAAGACCCCTATACGCAAGCGAATTATTGAAATAAAATTAAACCATATGTTAGTCCCGAAATGACCTAGTTTGTGTCGAGTGGACGTTAAACCCCATTTCTCTCTCTCTCTCTCTCTCTAGTATTTTATTTACCCAAGTCTCATGATAATGGTGGATTGAAATCATTAGACAATTTGATATCTGTCTTATATTGTGTAATAAGCACTATTTTTATACGCCCACATTGAAATGTGGTCGTATATTGTCGTCGCCCCCGTCCCTCAGTCCGTCGGCCCGGCGTCCACAATTGTTTGTGGACGCTCTAGAGGCCACAGTTAATATCTGATTGACTTTAAATTCATACACAGTGTTTAAGGTCTTGAGACGAAGAAGCCTATTGATTTTCAGCGATTTCTGATTATTACTGCCAGAGTTATGGACCTTGATCACTTTAAAAAATCTCGTGGACGCTCTAGAGGCCTAAGTTAATATCCGATTAATTTATACACAGAGTTTAAGGTCATGAGACGAAGAAGCCTATTGATTTTCAGCGATTTCGGATAATTACTGCCAGAGTTATGGCCCTTGATCACTTTTAAAAATCTTGTGGACGCTCTATAGGCCAAAGTTAATATCCGATTGACTTTAAATTTATACCCGGCGTGGTTCTCCCTTGTCAGTGATGCAGGACGGAGGGCCTGACAAGGAAAGCTGTCTAGTCGTTCGGATGGGACGAAAAACCGAGGTCCCGTGTACACATTGGCGTGCACGTAAAAGATCCCTTGGCAGTTGGAATTCGATATAAGAGTAGGCCGTAGTGCCGCTGTCGGGGCAAAATTTCCCTCATAGCACACTGTATGGCGTATGCCCGTCTTCATTAGCCCAGGTTAGGAGCAGAACAGTAGGACGTTAAACCCCATTTCATTTCATTTCATTTCATTTAAATTTATACACAGTGTATAAGGCCATGAGACGAAGAATCCTATTGATTTTCAACAATATCCGATAATTACTGCCAGAGTTATGGCCCTTGATCGCTTTGAAAAATCTTGTGGACGCTCTAGAGGCCAAAGTTAATATCCGATTGACTTTAAATTTATACACAATGTTTAACTGCCAAACTTATGGCCCTTGGCGCTCTAAAGGCTAAAGTTATCATCCGATTGACAGATTTTAAGATCTTGAGACAACAAGTATATTGATTTTCAATGAATTTTTATGTCTTGAACAGCTTTATCCATGATATTAAAAGTTTTGTATACAAAACGTTAGCATGGGGGAGAACTTTATAAAAACAAACAAATTCTAATGGTTTTCTGATAATTACTTCATGAGTTGTTGCTCTTAATCAGATTTTAGTGTATTATAAATGTTTCATTACCGAAAAAAAGTAAAAATATGCAACAACTCTTGTTGACTGCCCGGACGATTTTGCTGTTGTGGGCGTATGTTTCGTTGCCTGGCAACCTATCTTTTAATTTGTTTATACCTACCCACTTTGAAAGGTGATCATATATTGCAATGATGCCCGTCTATTCGACTGCCGGCTACAATGTATTGTGAACACTCTACAGAATACATTTATTATCCGATTACTGACTCGGTGGAACTTAGATAATTTCTAAAAAATTTGTTCAATTCTTATAGAGTTATGGTCCTTGTTTAAAATCTTGTTAACATCCAATCTACTTCAAAAATTTATCCACAAATTTCAGCAATTTCTAACAGTGTCCTTAGGTATATTTGAGAACCTTGTCAACTCGACAGTGATATTTTACAATGTAGAAATCGTTTTTTTTTTTATTTACTTAAAAATTTACAACGTGACAACCTTTGTAGATCGCTTGGGTGACTTAGCTGTTGTGGGTATAGGCTTCGTTTCCTGACATCCATCTTTTACCCTTGCTTAATCGCATTTAACCATGTCGAATACCAGAATGCTTACTGGACTTACGTATATTATTAATACATTGTTTCTGTATTATTTCTGTTTTTAAAATTATCGCTTTATAATATCATTTTAAAGGTGCATTATACGAGAGCAAAATCTGCCAATTGCAGATCTTTATTTTGGCTTCTAATGTTATATAAACTATTATTTAAACATTTATTAACTCTCTAGTCCACCGGATCGCTCCGATCTTAAATAGATTAGAACGCTTCGGCAATTTAATGATAATAAACAATCAATGCCACATTTTCACAGAATAAAGTAATTTGAAAGAAATTTTCAATATATTCATTTTTCATTATCTTTATATATTGCCGTCGCCCCCGTCCGTCCGTCTGTCGGTCCGTCCGTCCATCGTCCACAATTTCTTGTGAACGCTCTAACGCCAAAAGTTATCATCCAATTGTTTTAAAATTGATATATTTTGTTTACATTAGTGAGATGAAGACGCCTATTTAATTTCAATAATTTCCGTTTATTACGTCTAGAGTTATGGCCCCTGTTTCACTTTGTTGAACCTTGTGAACGCTCTAATGCCAAAAGTTAACATACGATCTTTGTGAAATTTATATGCAATATTTAAGTTAGTGAAACGAAGAAGCCTATTAAATTTCAACAATTTCTGTTTATTATGTCTAGAGTTATGGCCCTTGTTTCACTTTATTGAACCTTGTGAACGCTCTAACGCCAAAAGTTATCATCCGATCTTTCTGAACCCTATATGCATTATTTAGATTACTGAAACGAAGAAGCCTATTGAATTTCAGCAATTTCCGTTTGATACGTCTAGAGTTATGCCCCTTGTTTCACTTTATCTTTATTGATCCTTGTGAACGCTCTAACGTCAAAAGTTATCATCCGATCTTTCTGAAATTTATATGCATTATTTAGATTACTGAAACGAAGAAGCCTATTGAATTTCAGCAATTTCCGTTTAATACGTCTAGAGTTATGCCCCTTGTTTCACTTTATTGATCCTTGTGAACGCTCTAACGTCAAAAGTTATCAACCGATCTTTCTGAAATTTATATGCATTATTTAGATTACTGAAACGAAGAAGCCTATTAAATTTCTAACGTCAAACGTCAAAAGTTATAATTCGATCTCTCTGAAAATTATATGCATTATTTAAATTAGTGAGACAAAGAAACCTATTGAATTTCAGCAATTTCCGTTTATTACGTCTAGAGTTATGACCCTTGTTTCATTTTATTGAACCTTGTGAACGCTCCAACACCAAAAGTTATCACCCAATCTTTGTGAAATTTATATGCATTATTAAGATTAGTAAAACGAAGAAGCCTATTGAATTTTAACAATTTCCGTTTATAATGTCTGGAGTTATGGCCCTTGTTTCACTTTATTGATCCTTGTGAACGCCCTAACGCCAAAAGTTATGACCCAATCTTTGTGAAATTTATATGCATGATTTAAATTAGTGAAACGAAAAAGCCTATTGAGTTTGAGCAATTTACAATAATTACTTCTAGAGTTATTGCCCTTGTTTGACTTTGTTAAACCTTGTTAATGCTCGATTGATGAAAGTTATCATCCGATATATATGAAATTTTTATGCATCATTTAAATTTTTGAAACAGGTCTATTGAATTTCAGCAATTTCCGTCAATAATTTCTAGAGTTATGGCGATTGTGAACGTTTGAATGACAAAAGTGATCATGTGATCTGTATGAAATTTATATGCATTATTTAAATTAGTAAAACGAAAAAGCCTGTCAAATTTCAACAATTTCTGTAAATTACTTCCAGAGTTGAGACCCTTGTTTCAGTTTGTAGAACCTGGTAAACCCTCAAACGACAAAATTTATAATCTGAGCTGATTATTGCCTACAAAGGAATAAATATGCGACAACCCTTTTCGCCCGCACGGACGATTTAGCTGCTGTGGGCGTATGTTTTGTTGCCTGGCAACCTATCTTTCACTTTGTTAAACCTTGTTAATGCTCGATTGATAAAAGTTATCATCCGATATATATGAAATTTATATGCATCATTTAAATTTGTGAAACAGTACTATTGAATTTCAGCAATTTCCGTCAATAATTTCTTGGGTTATGGCGATTGTGAACGTTTGAATGACAAAAGTGATCATGTGATCTGTATGAAATTTATATGCATTATTCAAATTAGTAAAACGAAAAAGCCTGCCTAATTTCAACAATTTCTGTAGATTACTTCCAGAGTTGAGACCCTTGTTTCAGTTTGCAGAACCTTGTAAACCCTCAAACGACAAAATTTATAAAATCTGATCTGTATGGAACTGTCTTGTAAAGGCCCCCAATTACCCACAAAAGAATAAATATGCGACAACCCTTGTCGACCGCTCAGACGATTTAGCTGATGTGGGCGTATGTTTTGTTGCCTGGCCACCTATCTTTTAACTATTATAGCAAGAACGACCAACTCTGTAACCAAATCTTAGATAATGCATCTTTAAGGTCTGTGGGGTTTTTACTTCTAGATTTTTGTTGAAATCATGCATAATGTAGATTTTGTATTACGTGTTCCTTTGAACTACAAAACAACGGAAATCAGATTTGTCCACAGCTTCTACATGAGTTTTTCAAGCCTGGATAACACCAAAAATGAGAAGTCTTTTTTGTGTTATTTAATTTCCAATGTCGTATAATACATAATAGGTTATGTTGTTTGTACGGTTTACTGTATTGTTTGTATAGTCTGTGGTTTATTTTACCGTGTTCTTGCCCTTCATCATATAATATGTACATTAACAGCCACATTCATGTTGTTTCTTCTAATCAATATTATTTAGTGTCGGGTAATTTCTACTGTAATAATTTAAGCCTAATACTCAAAGGTCATATAACTCCTTTTTATACGCCCACATGGAAATGTGGTCGTATTTTGCCGTGGTCCCCGTCCGTCCGTCCGTCCGTCCGTCCGTCTGTCGGTCGGTCGGTCGGTCCGTCCGTCCGTCCATCGTCCACAATTTTTTGTGAACACTCTACAGACTACATTTATCATCTGATTGTTTTGAAATTGATATATGTTGTTTGCATTAGTGAGATGAAGAAGCCTATGTAATTTCAATAACGTCCGTTAATTTCTTCTGGAGTTATGGCCCTTGTTTCACTCTGTTGCACCTTGTGAACGCTCTAAGGATAAAAGTTATCAACCGATCTGTATGAAATTTATATGCATCATTTAAATTAGTAACACAAAGAAGCCTATTGTTGAATCTTGTGAACGCTCTAATGACAACAGTTATCATCCGATCTGTTTGAAATTGATATGCATCATTTAAATTAGTAAAACGAAGAAGCCTGGTGAATTTCAGCAATTTCTGTTAATTACGCCGTGAGTTATGGCCCTTGTTTCACTTTGTTGTACCTTGTTAATGCTCTAACGACAAAAGTTATTATCCGATCTGTGTGAAATTTATATGCATCATTTAAATTAGTAAAACAAAGAAGCCTATTGAATTTCAGCAATTCCGTTAATTCCGTTAATTTTGTTGAATCTTGTGAACGCTTGAACGACAAAAGTTATCACTTAATCGGTATGAAATTCATATGCATCATTTAAATTAGTGAAATGAAGAAGCCTATTGAATGTCAGCAATTTCCGTCAATTACTTATAGAGTTATGACCCTTGTTTTACTTTGTTGAACCTTGTGAACGACAAAAGTTATCATCCGATCTGTATGAAATTTATATATGCATTAGTAAAACGAAAAAGCCTGTCGAATTTCAACAATTTCTGTAGATTACTTCCAGAGTTGCGGCCCTTGTTTTAGTTTTTAAAACCGTGTGAACCCTCAAACGACGAAAATTATAATGTCATCTGTATGAAATTGTCTATTAAATTCCCCTAAGAACCCACAAAAGAATAAATATGCGACAACCCTTGTCGACTGCTCGGACGATTTAGCTGCTGTGGGCGTATGTTTTGTTGCCTGGCAACCTATCATATTTTTCATTACTCTGGGAACACGTATCCCTACTAAAATCCAAAATGTTCGCGAACTCCTTTTAGCCTTTGCTTGGTCACAATATAATTTAGACTTACACTCAAAGTCTTCTCAAAATTGAGCTCTACTTAGCTAAACACATATGTGGACAAAACATACAGCATAAATAACGAACCCAGCAAAAGAACCATCCGTGAAATCACTGTGTTAATCACGCCAAAAAATCTCAATTTATGGATTTAACCGCATGCTACACCCCGAGACACCATTATTTTATTTCCCCCTTTCCACTCCCTTGTTATTCCCTATTTTCCTAAATTTATTAAACTACCCCCAATAGCCCCACTTTAAATATTATAACTTCAATTTACAATTCCTAATAATGAATATATTTTATTTCCCACACTTAAACTTTTAAAACCTATCGTCTTATTTAATTTCAAATTAACTACAAAGCATTTTTTGGGGGGGGGGGGCGGCGGGTCTGTAAAACAAGTTACACGTTCAAATTTTAGGAATAATGTATTTACCAATTTCCACCAATTTTCCAATGGTCACTGTGTTCACCTCAGCTTGATCCTGATCTAATATGTTTCTCCAGGGTACTCGATCCTGCGTCACGGCTCCAAATCAGATATGTACCAGTATCGCTACCACATATCTTTGTTTTGACCTGATCCTCTAGTAGTTGGTTTGACCCTGGATTGTCTACTGTTGGTATCTCTTTTCTTATAGGGGGGTTGGATAGCTGAATGGTTAGCGTGAGCGCGCTGTATCATAAAGTCTGTCATTGTGTCGACTGGCATGGTTTCGAATCCCCGGTTGTACGTGACAAGGAGTAGGGTCGCCTGTCCAACCTCGTGGGTTTTCTCCGGGTCCTCCGGTTTCCTCCCACTGCTAAAGACCCCTATACGCAAGCGAATTATTGAAATAAAATTAAACCATGTGTTAGTCCCGAAATGACCTAGTTTGTGTCGAGTGGACGTTAAACCCCATTTCTCCCTCTCGTTCTTTTCTTATAAGGTCTTCAACGTACCCAAATCAAATATATAACAGAAACAACAATAGCTTTTTGCTATACATTTTTATATCACAACAGTTAAACAATACTCTACGCTACAATACTTCAAAATTAACATGTCTTTCAGTCCATCCCACGCCTGAAAAGTTTAACCAACGGACTAGACTCAGAAACCACTACATCATATGGTCGTCTAAAGAATCCAATGCGTGTCTAACTATTCTAGCCCACGCCCCCTCTTTTATATGTGGCTACCCATAATTGATTCACGTCATAGACTGTTAACAGCTAAATTCCAGATATGGAATGGACACGCACCATACCCCCAGCATATCGGCAGGGATTGTTACTTAAATTGGTCAACAAATATGATATACGTTTATGACAAAAGACATGTAAATGACCAAAATGTGTATTAATCTATAGCTCAGTCAACGTATCAAAATAACCTCTCATGAGGTTGCTAAATCTCATGATTATGAATGTAGAATCAATAATTTGTATTGTTTCCGTCTCCATATTGTTACACAGGCCACCCAGATTATATAGGTGCTATAAGGATGTCTAAAACCTATAATTGTTTATTGCTTCTCTCGACCCATGCATTTATGTTGATATTTGAAACTATTCATTTATGTTTTATTCAGGTGACAACCCGTGATCCAAAGTTGACTTCACAAGAAATCAAATCATTTAAAGTTAAAGCTTCTGATGAAAATAAAATTTCACTAGCTGAAAATATAAAACACCGGGTAAGTATTCGTCCCGAATTAGAATATCGATCACTATGCCCTTTAATTGTTTGATTTAAGTAAAGATAAAAGACTGTGTTATTTTGCTTAGTTATCCCGATATGTTATGTCGCTTGAAAATCTTATGGACGTTAAAACTGTCATCCAATTGTCTTTAAATGTAATATATTAATGCAACGAATGAGTTTCGTTGATTTCCGATAACTTGAACAGCTAACGAAGGTATAACCCGGAACATGTTTTGTGTAATAAATGTTGCATCAGGAAGAACTAGATTACAAGAATTTTATTATCGGCTAATTAAATTAAAACATTTTGTGTTTCAATTTCAGGATACCAGTAATTTTGATATAAAAATAGCCTATGAACACAAAGATGGCAGAACAATGTTTATTTTGGTAAGTCTGTAATGGCTGTGTAGGTGTTTCTGTTTAGTTTGTATACGTCCACATGGAAATGTTGTCGTATATTGCCTTCGTCCGTCCGTCAGTCCGTAGATGCTAAAGTTAACTTTCAATGTGTATAGTGTTTAAGGTTATACGACGACAAAGCCTATTGATTTTCAACGATTTCTGATAATTACTGCCAGAGTTATGGCCCTTGATGACTTTGAAATATCTTGTGGACACTCTAGGGGCTAAAATTAATATCTGATTGACTTTAGATTTATACACGTTAATTAATGTCGTAAGAAGAAGAATCTTCTTGATTTTCAAGGAATTACGATAATTAGTGCCATACTTATTCCCCTTGATTACTACGGAAAATTGTGTGGATGCTCTACAGGCCAAAGTTATCATTCGATTGATTTTAAATTGATACACCATGTTTAAGGTCATGAGACGAGACTTTGGAGGACTTTAAATAGCTAAATCTATGATAGTAAATGTTTGTATACTAAACGTTAGCATGGGGCAGAACTAGAAGCCAAACAAATTCTACTGATTTCTGATACTTACTTAATGAGTTACTTGTTGACTGCCCGGACGACTGCCCGGACGACTAAAAATAACTAGCGCGCCTGATAAGAATCCCAAAGTACAACCAATTTCGCCTTTACAAGAAAAGACACTGATTATGACGGCATCACGATAACTACAGTATGATTTACTGCCATGGGCTTGTGATATATAAGCAAGTCTCACACCAAGGTGCATTACACTGACGCAGTATGTACGCCATAGCGTCACCGCTGCGTCGCCACAGGTGATTTTTGGTCATCAGTTGGCCGCAGAGGGCTACGCAAACTTGACGCAAATAATGCGGTAGCCCATGTGCCACTTCTTACAGCAATGCGTTACTCATAGAAATATATAGATATTTTACCTGTTTCAGAGCTTGAATGTCGATTAAAACCTTACGCTGTCGTGATTTGGCCATGGGGAGGGGGTGTTACTCATCTGTACTATTTTCATGAAAGAAAATTCAACTAGACTTATCAATACAGCTTCCACTGTAAATACTATCGAGTTTTTTTATAAAATGACTTCCAAAATTCATGTATATATTTTTCCTTGAAGGTTTCATCAAAAGGGCAAGTTATCTACACGACGTCTTTCACATCAGTATCAACCGGACAGAGCAAAATAGAAATTCCAGAGATTTTTAGAACCGAGTTATCGCCCTTTTCAAGGATTATAGTATACTACCTGGATTCTGATCAAAATGAAGTAAAAGCAGAGAGTATTATCGTACATTTCCCTTCACGCTGCTTAGAAGAGGTAAACTCATAGAAAATCACTATTGACACCTTATCGTGGTTTTTTTTTTAGTTTAAAAACATATTTTTTTTTTAGATCTTTGTTCCATTTTAACTTATTCATACATGGACATAGTTGCGTTCCGGTGAACACCGATTGGTTGAATTGACTTTCAGCATAATGGTAGTCCCATGTGCACTACAGAATGTATACATAGACAACAAAGGCGATTAAACTGGATAGTTTCCGTTTTATAATTATAAAGTTCGACAATACAGAAAATCAAACTGGCGTAGTTGAAGATAATTTAAGTAAATGAAAAATTGTATGCCCCACCCCTGGTGTTATGATGTAATTATTTTGAACGACATCATAATGAGAGTAATGTACACTTGAGACGGTGAAAGAATGGAATGGAATGGTGATAGGGGAGAATGTGATCACGATGTTTTTCAAGTTCTATCTACCAAGCAAGCCAATGTGTACACATGTCAAATATTCACCTTTTAAAGTTGGAACTGAGGCCCACGACAGGATTAGACACTGGACATTCTAGTAAAGGGTGTGAAAATGAAACGGGTTATTAATAAAGTACTTTAATTTCAGCTGAATTTATCTTTCTCATTCGGCCAAACCGCTCTATTTTTGGAACCTAAGAAACGAGCTGCATTTAAAGTAAATGGTGGCAATAATATGAAAGTGGGTGTGGTTATTGTTGATAAGGCTGTATATTATTTGAATAATAAATATACTCTAACAAGAGACAAAGTAAGTACGCACGATTTTATCCATATATGGCATCGCTATTCTTTTCTCCAATAATTATTTTCTGTGAATTTTGTAAATGAAATTTTATAAACAAATATTGATCTGCAACAATCTGCCCAGTTGATGTTGTAATATAAAATGTTCCTAATGTAAAGTTTGTTATGTGCACTCTTCAAACGAGAATTTGTGCAATTTATGGGAAACATAGTCAAACCATCAAAGGAATTATTTGTATCTTGTGTTCAAGAATGAATTAGCATAACATGCTCTGTCTACGATACTCACCGCTAATATATACCTATAACATAATACCCAGATGACAACCGCCCACAGTATACGTCCGTTCGTCTTGTAGACGCCCTAGAGGCTAGAGTTAATATCCGATTAATTTTCACGGGTTTTCGATAATTACTGCCAGAGTTATGACCCTTGATCACTTTGAAAAATCTTTACACGGTGTGTAAGGTCATGAGAAGAAGAATCCCATTAATGTTCAAGGATTTTCGATAATTACTGCCAGATTTTTGGCCCTTGATCACTTTGAAATTTATAAACAGTGTTTAAGGTTATGCGGCAACGAAGTCTTTAATGTAGTGTAAATGTTTCATTACCGACAAAGCAAAAAATATGCGACAAGCTTTGATGACAGGGTCGAACGACTTAGCTGTTGTGGGCTCATGTTGCCTGTCAACCTATCTTTAACTTTTATTCTGTAATTGATATTTGTTTTCAGATGTTCTCCTTGCTGGGCAAACATGATACTGATTCTAAAATTGTACAAAGTGGAGATGCCAGTGAAACATTTAAGGTGGGTTCGTAAACCTTGGGACTTCAGCTCCCCCCACACACACCCTCTCTCTCTATATCTCTCTCTCTCTCCTTAGTTGTCTGTGATTGCTTTATCAAGTTTCTGCGTTGACACGGCAGCGAGTACAAATAATTAGACGCCTTTGCGTTGCCAGTTGTTGTGTCCTGCACCACATGGGGGAAACCAAAGGGGAAATCTTTAGGGACTTTTTGGGCCAACACGGGAAGTTATTCCGGGGATCTGTAGTAAATGCGCCAGTGTTAACTCAGGAAACCACCGTGACTCCCATATCATTTTTGATGAGCACTGACTGATACATCGATTAGTAACTATATTTTACCATCATCTATTTCAGGAAAATGGTTTACTATATTTTAATAATTTTCGTTTAAGAAAACGTTTCAACTATCCTATTGGAATGAGAGGTACTGTATAACACTTTATATCGGTAGGAAATAAAACCCAGCCGATAGAATAATAAGCCCACATTTAAGTGTCGCCACCTTAATTTATCTGTCTTCAAATACCATCGCTTGACAAAATTTATGAACTTATATTATGTGTCCAAGATGAAGTCTATAACAAACTGTTTTTTTAAAGCAACCAGGCATCCTTCACCTTATAGGAAAGGTGGCGCAACAATTGACGTACCTTCCTATATTATATTTATCTTATCGGGAAATTTTTAATGGGAACTTAATCGTCATTAGCTGTGATATGCTAGATGGGCTAGCTTTAAGAGGCTTCTTTTTGAAACTTACTTTTAGTTTTAAAACGATTGATCCTATATTGAGCACTTTATCGCCAACGAGTTGGGAATGACAAAATGGTTGCCAAAGTTCAGATTCCTGACGTCCCGTGAATATCCGACCCATTTTGAAGCTGATCCTAATAACTTTCTGACCAGATCAGTATCTATTTTACTTGTCCAAAGGGTTCAAAAATATTTTTAAATCCATGTCACATTTGAAAAGCTTTACGTCAGGCTTTTCAAATCATTTAGTTGTATTTTTCCAATTTTTTAAATTAGGTGTGTTAAGGTGACATTTGTATCATCAATTAATTGGAATATTGTAAAATAGTACAATTTGTTGACCAGAATAAAGATTGGGACATATTATTCAGTTACAACAAGAGTGGTATTGAGCCTTTAATACACGTTATATTGTCCTCAAATTGATTATTTAACACTTGATATAATACACGTGTCAACGATAATCTCACGGCATTTGATTATAGCGAAGATTATATGTGACACGGCTTGTTTATAATGTCTTCAGACGATACCGAATGTGACATATTTTCAAGTCATCATATCTGTTTAAATACTGAAAGCACTGGGCTATTTTTGGAGTTAAATCCCTTTCAGAATATTGAGTTTGCAAGGGATTAAAGATGCTTCAAATAACTCTAATTTAGCCATTGAAATACGTTTTTAAAGTGACTTCCTTAAAGTGTTTCTATTATTTAATGTTTTACCCAGGGGCGGATTGGGGCCGGCAACCGGCCCAGGCTCCCGTGTCGGAGCGTCCCCTTTCACTGACCGCGGAGCCCGGACGGGGGGGGGGGTCCGGGAGGCTCCCTCCGGGGTGAATTCGATGAAATTTTCGGATGAAATTCGGAATCCCCATTGCAACATGATCATCATCGCTCTATGGCCGGTCCAATACCCCCCCCCCCCCTCCATATAATGTTCAGCGGAAAAAGTTTTTTAGACGAATTGGACAAAATTATTTTTTTCATTTTTTGTCCAACCGGCCCTTCGGGCGATCGCCCGATGGCCCAATCCGCCCCTGGTTTTGCCTTTTTGCACATGTCGGAGTTTGTAACGGATTAAAAAAACCTTATAATGTCTTTAATTTAGGATTTCATTTCTCAAAATTTCAAGATTTTCAAAAACCTTCGGCGGGAATAAATGTTGTCCGTGATGATTCTCTGGACCTAATACCCATAAAGCAGATTAGAAAAGATTTTCCGGAGTCGTGGTACTTTGAAGAGTTTACTCTATCTGAGTAAGTATACGTTTGTGTTGCTATGTAAATGTATTTATTTAAAATGGTTTACATCAACAAAATTATTGGAAGGTTTCGCTATCCAGCATGCGTGTTTCGTAATCTAGTAAACGTTTTACGCACTGTGTACAAGATTCTGACTTGCATAGTAGCGTATACCGATACCGTACGGATATAGTTTTTATACGCCCACATTTAAATGTGGTAGTATATTGTCCGTCGTCCACAATTGCTTGTGGACGCTCTAGAGGCTAAAGTTAATATACGATTTACTTTAAATTTATACACAGTGTTTAAGGTCAGGCGACGAAGAAACCTATTGATTTTCAGCGATTTCCGATAATTACTGCCAGAGTTATGGCCCTTGGTCACTTTGAAAAATCTTGTGGACGCTCTAAAGGTCAAAGTTAATATCCGATTGACTTTAAATTTATACACAGCGTTTAAGGTCATGAGACAAAGAAGCCTATTGATTTTCAGCGATTACTCCCAGAGTTATGGCCCTATTAACTTTGAAAAATCTTGTGGACGCTCTAGAGGTCAAAGTTAATATCCGATTGACTTTAAATTTATCCACAGTTTTTAAGGTCATGAGACGAAGAAGCCTTTTGATTTCCGATAATTACTGCCAGAGTTATAGCCCTTGATCACTTTCAAAAATCTTGTGGACGCTGTAGAGGCCAAAGTTAATATCCGATTGACCATAAATTTATACACAGTGTTTAAGGTCATGAGACGAAGAATCCTATAATTTCCGATAATTACTGCCAAAGTTATGGCCCTTGATCACTTTGCAAAATCTTGTGACGCTCTAAAGGCTAAAGTTATCATCCGATTGACTTCAGATTGATACACAGAGTTTTAGATCTTGAGACGAACAAGTATATTGATTTTCAATGAATTTTTATGACTTGGAACAGCTAAATCCATGATATTAAAAGTTTTGTATACAAACCAAACAAATTCTAATGGTTTTCTGAGCTGTTGCTCTTAATCAGATTTTAGTGTATTATAAATGTTTCATTACCGAAAAAAGTAAAAATATGCGACAACTCTTGTTGACTGCCCGGACGATTTAGCTGCTGTGGGCGTATGTTTCGTTGCCTGGCAACATATCTTTGATAAAGCTATCACCGATTGCCCATGGCGTGCATATAAAAATAGACTTGACGTTGGAATTCGATGAAGTGTAGACGGAAATGCCGCTGTCCGGACTAAATTCCACTTAAAACAGTCTGTGTGTGCAGTCATGTATAGGACGTTATACCCCATTTGTTTTATTAGCAGTCAAATCAAAATCCATAAATACAACATGACATAGCCCAAGAAAAGTGACAAGACAACTGACTAACAACTATATTTCTTGTTTATTTCTAGCAAGGGTAGAAAAACTGTTAGTGTAACGTTGCCAGATTCAATAACTACGTGGGTTGTACGAGCTGTTGGTCTGTCGTCAACTCGAGGTGTTTGTATTGCTGAACCTCGAGAAATCACGGCTTATAAACCTGTTTTCATTCAACTCCATCTTCCTTATAAGGCTGTCCGATTAGAACAGGTCAAGGTCACAGTCACCATGTTTAATTATAAAAACCAGCGAATGAAGGTAATTACACCAAACTTGATAAATTTACTAATTTACATACGCTGGACACTTTTTGGTATATTAATCAGTGTGGCAAACATCACACTGGTGAAATAAATTGGGGAAAAATGATTCAGTGTAGCGATTCTGATGATGTTGTCACGTGAAACACGAGTTTTTTGTTCTGTTTGAAAGGGAAAGTAACATATTTAGTAACATATTAATGAAAAATAACAGATTGTCATTGAAATTCCCGCGGTATCTATCAATCATTGGTTTAGGGGTGTTTGTGTTGTTATGCTACTCTGAGTATTCGATACACTTCTCTTCGCTTGAGACTCGGGTATCCGCCAGATCCAATTTTCACGTCTGCGCCGGTGCCACAGACCCCTCAACATATGCCCTGTATATTACGTAATCACATATTCCTGATGACGTAATCATGGAACTTTTATATGCTGCTATGTGATCAGCCCTATCTATCCGTCTGTCAGGGAACACTCTAGGATTTATATGCATTGTTACATTAGTTAGACAAAGACCGTTGTCAATTTCGAGAATTTCGGTTATCTATACTGGATGTAAGACGAGATAAAGATTCTAGTGTGTCAACGAATGATCTTAGGTGTGCTGAGTGCAGTGGTGGCGCCAGCCGTCGGTGATTGGTATGGAAGTATAACGTTGCCAATATTATTTCATTGTTCACGGTGCAAACTGCAAATGTCAGTAGTTCAAAATACGTAGTTTAGTTTTACAATTTGCAATTTCCATTGCTCAACAATACCAATGCCACGGTGTTAAAATACAGAATACACTTTTCAATAATACAAAATACAGTAGAATAGTTATTTTGCACATTACACTTCTGCATTCTGCATTTTGTATAATAGACAAATGCATAATAGAACCTTGCATAGTAGAACATATACCTTATATGGGATCTACGACGAACGTCATTTGCATACGGAAAAAAGTCCGGACTATGACGGAAATTAATGATTTACGCGATAAAGCCATAAGGTCACCTGGATACGAAATGAAGTTAGCACACATATTCCTAGCGCCAATAAAAACCTACATATAAATATCACGAAAATAATTGTTACCTTTATATTAGAAAACGACATATTAATGCAAAGTATATATGTAATAGACCCCCCCCCCCCCCCATGAAAAAAAATATACTATTACCGTAAACATACTAAAATATCGCACACTAGGCTAACTGAGCACGCTGAAAAGGGGTACGCCCACGCTGCATTAAAACGCACCGAAGCCAGCTTTGGTGGCAAAATAGTTTTTTGTTTCATGGAATCAAGGGATGAATAAACTACTAGAATACAAATTTTCAGAAGCTTCCTAAGCTGGCTTTTAGAGAAATATCACCGTAAACATACTAAAAACATGGGGGGATCGGGTTAGGGTAGGCTCATCGCGTACGCAATAACTTCTAAACTAGCTTTGGTGGCTCCAGGATCTTTATTTCACCCAATTTACAGGTGCATAAGGTATGAACATGCCAAATTTCATTAACTTTATATGTTGGCGTATCGAGTTATACCACCGAAAAGTTCCTAGCATCATTATTCGAGGCGAGGTTCGTGGGTAGAATAAACAAGGGGTACGCCCACGCTGCATCAAAAAGCCCCCAAACCAGATCTAGTGGCCAAATGTTTTTTGTTTCACAGAATCAAGGGATGAATAAACTACTAGACTGCACAATTTCAGAAGCCTCCTACGTTGGCTTTTCGAGATATATTACCGTAAACGTACTAAATATGTGGGGGAATCGGGTTAGGGTAGGCTCACTGCGCACGCAATGACTTCTAAACTAGCTTTGGTGGCTCCAAGATCTTTATTTCACCAAATCGACAGATGCATAAGGTGTGAACATGCCAAATTTCATTAACTTTCTATGTTGGGGTATCGAAAAGTTCCCAGCACCGGATTCGAGGCCTGGTTCGTGGGTACAATAAACAAGTAGGCGGGTATAGATAACAATACACCTAGAACAAACTGCAACAGAAATCATTTCTTTGGGAACCGTTCAGGTATGGTCTCTAGTACTTCCATAACAAAAGCGGCCATTATCGGTCTTGGGGAAATTTGCATAAGTAACATAAATCCAAGATGGCCGCCAGTGGACCCGAAAATCGCCAAAACTCCGAATCGGTTGACTTTAGTGCAAATAAATGTATCAGGGGTGGATCTAGGAATTTTGAAAAGGGGGGGGGGGCGCTGCAAAATGAAGGCATTGACCACGGAGACGGGGCACGCCGCTGAGGGAGGGGGGGGGGTCCAAGAAAATTATCCGTCATTTCCTTGCATCTGTAGCCATTCCAAGAGCTATTTCCCAGACTGGTGTGTTTGAGTCGATGGTTTGAGTCATTTGGGATCCCTACAACGGGTTGGGAACGGACATATTTGAGTCTGAGAAAAGGCACTTTCAGCAGTAAAAAAGGGCACTGTCGAAAATTAGGGGGGGGGGGGGGCGCCCCTCGCGCCCCCATTGAATCCGCCTCTGTGTATTAACGGCCTATAGGATATCGATACTCGCGAGTTAAAAAATGCCGACATAACCTACGATCTTATTATGACGTCGTAACGTCATTTTGATGGCATTACGTCGTTCTCATTGTGACGTCATTATCAATTGTATTGTAACTACGCTCGGAAAACTGTTGGAAACCATGAACCGCTGCAATCTGTTTTACAGAGGATTACGAAAGTCTTCTAATATCTCTGTAAAAGAATCAAGATGACTGCCTTCAACACATGACGTCACGCGACGTCAATCATTGGCTCAATGGGGCGTGCAATGTTTACATAAGACGTTACTGCTTCGGGCAGAATGCTGTCTTTTACTCATTTTTATACCCATTTACACTAAATAGGAAATAATATTTACCTACAAATACTTCAAACGTCGTTATTTATTTTTCTAATACTTAAAAAAAATGTTTAAGAATTTAATTTGTCGGAGTAAAAAAAATGTTTTAGAATTTAATTTGTCGGAGTAAAAAAGTAAATAGTTGGGGCTCATTAAGTCGCATCGATGTCATCCTTATTCACTGCTGATCGGTGTGGAACCGCTGTACAACTCATCAAACTGAAACTCTACATCATCGTTCATCTATAGCTGGGGGACACGGTGGCTTGCTTACCTGGAGGTTCAGTTTTTGATCCCTGCGTTGGCCGAGAAAGTTCACTGGGATTTTACGGCGTGGTACCCCTTGTCAGTGGTGCAGGACAGAAGACCAGGCAAGGGACAACGTATAGTCCTTCCGATGGTACGAAAAGCCGTTAAGGTTCCCTTGCTAGTTGGAATTCGATATAAGAGTGTGCCGTTATGCACTGGCGTATGCCAGTCTTCATTATCCCAGTCGGAACAGAACAGTAGGGCGTTAAACCCCATTTCTTTTCATCTATAGCCATCTAATAAAAGCCGATAAGAATAGTCTACCTACTTAGAATTTGAAAACAGAGACATAGTTAAAGTCAAATCTTACGAAATTATCGCTGGTCTTATTGGAAAAATGCCATTTTAGTACTAAGTTCTTTTGACCAAATCTGAATAGGCTAATGGAACAATAGAACAAGCGCACCTTAACGTTGGCAAATACGTAAGACAATGTGAACATAACATGATTCAACTGCAGGTTGTGATATGATAAATAGTCATGGACACTTGACTTGCTTTGGGGGTATGTTGACAGATGAAGAACTTATCGCCCCAATAGAACCACTGAGCTGCACACGCGACTGATACACGCAATAGCGCCATACACGCGGGAGGGGTTTATTGTCAAATTTAACACTTCAAGGAAGGGTTGATGAAAACTGCCGTGTGCTAGTTTATCCTATCCATGTTTGCTTTCCTATCGGTTCTTGCATAAGATTTATTGTGTAGTGTATCATTGCTTTAGTGTGTTACGTTTAATTTGATCGGGAGACGTGTTCGTCGACGTCAACGTCAACCGACAACACTGCAAGAATTTTGGCTGTGGCACTGCAAGAGGAGTTGGTCAGTTTGCCCCAAATCGTGATTCGACGGTTGATTAGGAGCATGCCACAACGAATTGCTGGATGTTTGGGGATTGGTGGAGCAATTACTCATTATTAAGACAAAAATCAAAAACTTCCATTTTCACTTTTGACAGTGTATCTCTTTGCGAGTGAAATGGGGCCGTCAGATAAGCCACCCATATGAAATGTTTATGTTCATGTGTAGGCAATTGGCCTGTTATTATCATACACTGGTTACCTCTAATAAAAACAGCAGTGCATTTCCGCAGTTTTGTATTGTTTCTGAATATCCCCTACTTTTTTGAAGAGTATATTATAATTTTATTTCTAAAGCGCTACATTATAGCAATAGTTATTTCTAAGCGCTGTACAGGCATATACATGCAATATAGATGATTAATATCTACATTCAAGTTAAACCAACTGTGTCTATATATTTTTTAAGTCTTACGTCGAGCTGTATAAACTATATGATTTATTGGCATTAAAACTCCAATGGCTGGTTAACAATGCGTAATTAAAGACTATAATTGGATCTTTGTAGAAATAATCATAGAAATTAAATTAAGGTGTCATACGATTGCATGTAATATAAACTACGATATCATAACATTCTTTAATTACAAATCTCAGTAGGGGAGGGGTATAATTTATTGTTTAACATTGTGATTATAATCAAAACAATAAATCCCGTCCTATACACCAAACAAGACATAGCAAGAAATACCTCCTATTGCGAACAGTTTAATATACCTAGAATTTTCTACACCAACTCGGGGGGTTGGATGGCCGAATGGTTAGTACGCGCGCGCTGTATCATACGGTCTGTCATTGAGTCAACTGGCGGGGTTTCGATTCCCCGGCTGTACGTAGGGTCGCCTTTCCAACCTCGTGGGTTTTCTCCGGGTTCTCCGGTTTCCTCCCACAGCTAAAGACCCCTACGCGCAAACGAAGTATTGAAATAAAATTGAACCATGTGTTAGAGTCCCGAAATG